TTGAAGTAGTGCAGCAAACACTACAATCACTCAGGATTGTAATGAAGTGTTTAAAGTGAGTTTTTTCAGACTTTGCATAAACATCCATAATAAGCCCAACTGAAGTGGAAAGAACCATGGACAGAAATAGCCTTACCTCAGTGAAGTTGATCTTCTCTCCACTAAACATGCGCTCCCTGGCACTTTCCACACCCCTTGACTTTGCCTGAGAAAGGTAAATATAGATTCCTCTTAAAATAGTGGAAGCCAACATGCATTACAAAGATCCAGCTACATTAAAGAGTATGAACATTTAACACAAGACAGGGAAACAAAAATTATGATAGATTAAAAGACCCACTAGATTCTAGGTAAAAAAAAATATTTTCCTTTTTCAAAGCACATTTTTATGCAGATATGCATTGAAAAATGGCTTTGTAACTCGGGGCTAGATGACAATGCAAGAATTTGAATCCTGTCAAGACTTGTAAACAGATGCCTTTTTACTTGTATGTTAGCTAATGTTCATAAACAGTGCTAGAATAGTGAGTTACGGGTAAAAGTTATTTTGTTTATTAATGGAAGATTTTAAATAGTTACCAGTTCCATCAGCATTTTCATCACTTCTTCTGTAACAAGGTTCTTGGAGTAATCCAGCAAGATATCCCCATGGTCAGTATTCAGGGTCAAGCTGCCAAAAATCAACAGGTTGTTTAATTGCACATTCCTGAGGGGTGACTGTTTTAAGGGAGACAATAGTAATGCTGCTATAGATTACAAAAATAAGGGGAATGCTAATTAGACTAACTCAGTAAAGAAGAGTGACCAATCTGCCCGAAAAGTTTCACAAAATGACTGCTGGATTTTTGAAAACCATGTTTTTCCACAATCTGAATTACAGTGTCCACTTTCTGCTTGTGAAAACACAATTAAGTATATTTGATGCATAGTTGGATAATCACACTTTGTTTCCACTAGCATTCTCTAGCAATAATCAGCTTTTTTCTAATGTATTATCAGTAAAGAGCTTTTCACATTCCTCTGCTGCTGGAAAATTAAACTGTCTTCCTACAGGTCCTGTCATTCTTTCATACAGAGTCTTAAACAAGTCTAATTGAAAAATCTATACAACATTATGAACAGAAACATTGCCAACTACTATGCAGAATTAAATCCCATTTGTGCATGGTTTAGTCTCACTATCCTCATTGATTCAGTGAACGGCTCCAAATTATTTAACAAATTATCTGCAAGCTGCAGCCTAACCCATCAGAATAGAGGCACTTGTAGGTTCACATCTGAGAGGAAACACAGCAATGGGAGCCCAGCAGAAGCCAAGTGAGTCCATTTGTATTTACTATCCTTGTATCTATGTGACAGTTTCTGTAGTTCCTCTAATCCTTTACAATATTGTTTTACCAATTTCTTCTTTGCAATAATTTCCAACCAAATCTATAAATTACTCTAATAGAAGAGCTGAATTCTGTAAATCAGCCTTTGATAAAAGCACATCTTACTCTCTCTGTTGCTCCACACACACCCCCACAGGAAATTGCAGCCATCTAAATTCTGTGTTTCTGCCCTGTTCATTGTCTCCCCTGCTTCTTTCTCAATACCTGAGCACAGAAACATGCTCTGTTATTTCAGCCACCACATGTGCCAGAGACTTCACAGGGACACACCACAGCATAATTGCTCTTCACACGTAACATGACAGAGCAGGCAAGACTCTTCAAAGGAAGAATGGAGCTGAACTCACAATAACAGTAATAACCAGCAAGGCCTTAACATTTCAGTGGTTTCACTTACTGTTAACTTCATTAACTGCTCATTAACAGTAACATCCTTCTCATGGTCTTAAAGTATAAGCATGAATGAGGAAAGGAAGGTGTCTTCAAGCAGTCTCAGAACCATGTTTCTTTAATAGGAAAAGCAGTATCAATGCTGCTAACCACCCTTCTACTCAGGATGCCAACATCAATCCTGACACCCTGACCCCCAGCACCAGGATCCCTGGAATATGGCTAGCTACTGGAAGGACTGGTTGGGCTCACCTGCCACAACTGTTACTCAGCTACAGCATGGAAGAAAAAAAGAACAAGCCTTTGATATTTGATGCAATTTATTTAAAGACATCTCAGACTTGAAGACATTTCACTAATGGTACAGCAAGACCATCAGCATACTAACACGTCTTCAGTTTCACTTCAGAGAAGTAGAACTCTTGGTATTCTCCTTCTACATTAAACTGCAGCTGATAGCCTCTCCCAGTGCTCTACTCCACAAAGAAAAGGATTTCATGTTTACTTGAAATGTCTCCCACCTACAATTCATTACTTTACATATATGAATGAAAATCAGTCTCACTAGACCTAGAAGACAAAATCTCTCATGAAATTATGGCTGGATGGCTGGCTCTTCAAGCCACTGCTCATTTGAAGAAACTGCAGAAATGTGCTACCCAAGACTTTCCAGGCAAAGCCAAATCAAGGAATGGCTACCAGATTTAACTTGCCACACACAAGGTGGAGCACACAGTGTACAATGTAATCCTGTAAGTCCTTACAGCAAGGGATCCATCCACCCTCTGTTTGAGCAGAAGCCCCAACCCTGCAGCTGAGCTGTGCTCTCCCAAGCACCCACTCTGCAATGCAGCAGCTCTGGCAGTGCTGCTCAGGGGGACAAGAGCCTTGTCACGTAGGCCACAGGCACCTCCAAGTGATGCAGCCTTAACCTGCAGCATCCCAATGACTGCATCTCCCACCACATTCTCCAGGTACACTCACATTCCATTTACTGTTATCCTTGACAACGGACAAGCCAAGCAGCAGGAGAGTCATTCTAACACTGTGTCTGCATCAGGGGTACCTCTGTCACACCCAGACATCCCTTACCTGCTGAGTATGTGATGGCTGCATCATATCTCTACTAACCCAGTGAACAGCCCATGTTGATAAGAAGTCCTGTTCCTATCAGGCCTTACCTCACCACCTTGGGTGGCAAAGAAGGCAAAGATCTCTTACAGGTGTGGCTACACTCCTTATCAGGCAAGCAGTACATACAAATTCTGAACTAGGAAAAAAACGTCAAAAGGAAGAAAGGATGTTTTGTATATACTTGATAGGATGCAGTCAGTGAGTGTAAGGTTCTTCCAATAATATTAAATAGACACTTGTGCCCAGATATAAAATACTCAGATTAAAAACTATTAACACCAGTCTGAAATTCCTCCAGAACCAGTATCAGGAAGCACTTTCACCTGGATAGGTTTCTCTTTTCCTTTTAAATGAAGGAAGTCAATGATTTTACAACAACATCTACCGGAACTAAAAAATATTCATAAACCTTAATTTCACATGAGGGAGGTTGCAAATGACACAAGACCACGTGGCCAAACCTCCAGACAACAATTTTCCACAGATTTAGCTACCAGCCAGCACTGGCAAGAGCACCAGTGAAGCTATCAGCTCTGCAATTGTACTTTGCTATGAGGAAGTTCTCCTAGACTAGAACGAGATGGCTTTGCAGGAAACAGGACTGAAATAATTAAAAGAAAGGATTAAGATAGATGAAGCAAACTTAAGACTCTGCAACTGTTTACTTATGGGCAGCACAAAAGGGCATGAATTAGAGGAGCTATTTAAAATAAATAACCTCAGTAAAGACCATCGCACCAAAAAAATACTGGAGATAAGGAAAACTTGCAATGGGAAGTCTATTAGTGAGGATCTAGTAGATTTAATAAGATCAATTGACTGATCAATTTCTTAAAAATAAGAAATGGCTCCTGTTAAAAGGGCCAGGTGAAGTCAGTACTCAAAAAATTCAGCATAATTTCCCCATCGATTCAAATTATATTTTATCTCACATATATATATGCAGGACTTCATATACCATCTTCAATTACAATGTAAAAATTTTCTAATGAGCTCAAAAGGGAGAAAAAATCCCTTTACGCAGGACAGCAAGGAAAAGCTTGATGCACGCAACAAGTCTTATCACACACTCTAAAATGGGAGGTTGGTTTATCTCTATCACTCAGGTTCACTTTAAACTCAAATCTGGGATGCACCACTTAATAACAGACTTTTCCGACTGCAGCTATAGTACAACAACGTAACCCCACACATGCCCTCTCAGCACGGCCTCCAGCAAACAGAAAATCCGTGTCCCACTTTACAAGATGAAGGCTCTGAACGCTATCACCATGCCTCCACTTGTTACTTCCTCCCCTACGCTGCAAGGCATTTTCTGTAGCAGCGATGGCGTGAGGCGAGGGAGGGCTAAACCCCCTCACGGCCCCCGCTGCCGCCTGAGGGCGGGCTCGTACGGGCACAGGGGGCTCAGGGGATGCGCGGCCCCTCGCGATTGTATCGCGGAGCTTATCGTGACTAAGCACGGCGTGCGAGAGGCTGCGAGTGCCGCCCCACAGTGCGGCTGTGCGAGCGCAGCGGGCGCTGTGCTGCCCGGCACGTACCCTGCTGCAAGGATGAGTCAAGGGCAGGCGGCGCGGCCGCCCCCCGGGCGCTGCGAGCGGCTCCCCCGCCCCCGGCCCGGCCCCCCCCGGCTCATGTGCCCGGGCCGCCATCGGCCTCGCACCGCCCGCCGTGGCGAGCACAGCACCGCGGGCCGAGCGCCATCCGCTCCCCGCCGGGGCTGCGCGGGGGGAGCGAGCGGAGCGGGGCCACGCCAGCGCTGCCCGCCAGGCCCGGCCGCGCCGCGCCCCTCGCGGCCCCGGCTCCCCGGGCCTCGTACGCGGCACCGCCCGGGCGCGGCAGCCCCAGGGCCCGCGGCCGCTGCCCCGCTCAGCCGAGGGGCCGCCCGGCCTCACCTGAACTTCTGGAAGCGATCCTTGTCGGCCTCGAAGAGCTGCCGCAGGACGAGCTTGGAAGAGTTGGCCTTGTGCCACTCCACCAGCTTCTTGAAATGGGGGTCGCCAGACAGCGCCATGTCCGCGGGATGAGCAGGCGAAGCGGGATGAACCGGGCAAGGCAGATGAGCTCTTGCCTACTCTTCCGCTTTTATAGCAGCGACGCGGCCTCCTGCGGCCGCCCCGCCCCGGCCGAGCCCGGCCCGGCCTCGTCCCCGCCCTCCGCCGTGGGATTCCCTCCGTGCCGCGCCAGACGGGGAGGAGCGGCCTGCGGGTCCCGGCGCGGGGGCGGCGGGGACTGGAGCTGGAGCTGGAGCTGGAGCTGGAGCTGGAGCTGGAGCTGGAGCCGGAGCCGAGGCCGAGGCCGGAGCTGGGGCCGGGGGCCCCGGGGAACGCGTAGCGCTCCCGGTTGTAACTCCCGTGTGAGGGAATCGCGGTGTCCCCGCCACGGCTCAGCGCCTCCCGGGGCCAGTGTCCGCCCGCGGCTGTGCGGGTGCGCGGTGAAAGCGCCGTCCCTGGTCGGGCTGGTTTTACCCCGGGGTCGTCCTGCGGCAGCACTCGGAGGTGGCCTCAGCATCAGCTGGGACAGGGCTGGTGACAGCGCGGACAGGGCTGCGTGACACCCGCAGCACCACAGCCGCGCACGCCGGGGCACCGGGTGCTGCCCTGGGTGTCGGACCACTGCCCGTGTCCCCGTTGCCCTCATCCCTGCCCCTGTCCCCGGGTCCCAGACCCCTGCCATGTCCCTGGATCCCAGACCCCTGCCCGTGTCCCTGGGTGCCAAACCCCTGCCCATGTCCCTGGATCGCAGACCCCTGCCCGTGTCCCTGGGTGCCAGACCCCTGCCCGTGTCCCTGGATCCCGGACCCCTGCCCGTGTCCCTGGGTGCCAGACCCCTGCTCGTTTCCCTGTTGCCCTCACCCCTACCCGTGTCCCTGTTACCCTCATCCCTGCCTGCCACCCCGTGTCCATCACACCTGGCTGAACTCTGGGCAGGCTGGGGCAGGCAGAGCAGCAGCTGTGCCATCCTTGGGGGCAAAAGCTGTTCTGGGCATAAAGCAGGATGTTGTTGAAACATGGGTGTATAAAGGAGTCTGTTAAATTCCAGAGATTGCATTCTGCAGCTTAGGGGAGCAAATCCCAGTGAAATCATGTTTTAAGTACCTAAGCTCCTTTATGGATCTGGGCCCAATCGGAGTCACAGAGCGTGAACTTGACTCAGAGCACTAAAATCACAGCCCAAGTCTTAAGCTGCAGAATCAGCATCTTGTCCTTGTTGCAAAACAAAAAGCATTCATAATTGATCCTTAGCAAAAGTCCTTCCATACCTCACTCTTGCTTGTTTCTAAGGTTTGCTTTTTCAGACTTAAAATAACTGTTTAATAGACCAAAACATTTGTCTTCAGCAAAATAAATCTTAATCACTTAATATATTCTCAGGGGTTTTTTACATCTTTGGAGGCCACTCTCAGTGGCTAGTCATAGGTTTGGACAATGCCAGTCATAGGTTTGGACAACTTCACCAAGACAGAGCTGCTTCTTTCATGCACCCAAATCTACCTGACCATTTTTCACTGCATGTGGTTTGCTGCATGCCTTCAAGTAAGGCAGGAAAAAATGGCAAAAATTAAACTTTGGAGTTGATTCCACAGAGGAGAACACAAGGGCCCAGTAAGTCTTTAACAAGACATGTCATGCACACTGCCATGTCACCTTTACATATTTTCCTTCCTGTCCAAGACCTTTATAAACAACCCTGAATAATCACAGACTCCTTTTCAGTGAGAAACTGTAACCAAGTTGTCACCTGTGATGTAAAGTTCTTTGGCTTAATAAATGTCTCCTATTAGTCACAGGGAGAGAGCAAATACCCTTTTAAAAATGTTAATTGTACTGACAACATTTGATATTCAGCCGTGAAACAGTCCTGACTCACCTGTCAGATTTCTCTCAAATCAGGGGAAGCAGGATTCATTAAATTGTTCTTGCCACCTCCCTATCAAATCCAGGGGTCTCATACACACATTTTCCCAAGCTTCTCTGCTGTTATCAGCAGTAGGCATTGTTCTCAGAGCCTCTTTCTACTGATCAGCCAAAGGCCTGCCATGTTTACACACTAACAGCTGCTTCTCCTGCAGGTCCTCCCAGCTATCCTGTCATTTTTTAATTGATAATAATGTCTCAATTTTGCACCAACTTTTCCACCTTTATTATTTCAAAACAGGCAATTCCCATCCTGCCTTTCACTGTAAAATTTGGATGGTGTCTGAGCTGTTACTCTCTCCATGTTCAGGATTTCACAGTCAGGTTACAAGGCCTGCTAAAAGGTCTTTTGACAATTCTTAAATCCTCATTCGTTACTATACTTCTGTTTTCTGGCCACCTCACTTTTCCACTTTCTTTCCAAACTACAGAGCCACATTAGCTTCTTACTGCTCTGATCACAAGAATTGTTATTATTGAAGTAGTTCTTTCCCTTTTCACACAAAATATGAATCCCATGGCCTTGTGCAGCACAGCTGCTCAACTGTATCTCAGTCCAAGTCTGAATTTCAGTTCATTCATGTTTGACTGAGACACAGGTCTCAATTTTGTTTCCCTTTCCCTGTCTTATTTTATCATAGTTCTTGCACTATTTGAATTATCTCAAAATCCTGCATCTCTTAAATCTCAAAGATCTTCAAATTTATCTGACTCAATCCCAAAATAAGCAAGATTTTGTAAACTTTAAATTCCAAGTCTACAAGCATTCTTACGCTTAATTGTATCTGTGCAAGAATTTATAGGTTCAGGTAATCAATAAGGTAATTGATAATCTATTGATTCTGGTTAACAGTAGGGACAAACTGACTGTGACATCACAGTCACAGGTTTGGTAGTCTGGCTACCAAATCTGCCTTCTAGGACACTGATTTGGTTACCCATTGCTAATGTGCCTGCTGCTCACATAATGTATATTCCATTGTCTTCCTTTTGTAACATTTTATTCTAAGATTTTGAGATATTTTTTCTCATTTCATTAACCTTAAATTATATAAATTGTCTGCCATTCATATTTTCTTTCCTTAGACTGCTTTCCACAGAATCCTTTGGCTCCAGCACCTTCCTACTTCGTCTCTTTTTTCCTCTACAATGCAGAGAGTTCTAGAATTCAAACTATTCCTGCAGCAGACTATGCAAATTTTATGACATATGAGGAAGATAAGCAGGCCAAGGTCCTGATTCTAATTCTGAAGGAGCAGAGGACAAGGTTTGTCTCTCCATAAGCTGTGCAACAGCTGGGCGCCACAGGGACAGCAAGGCCTGTCCCCAGTGAAAGCACCAGTTGATTTTATTGTGGAAGGTTTGGACTGGGTGTTCAGCAGGTGAACCAGCTGAGAGCTGCCATACTCATTTCCCTCAGGATTCATTTTAAGGCAGCTCTAACATACATAGAAGCAATAATATGGAGTCAAGGCAAGCCCTTATCTCATAGCAGGCAGAGAGTGTGAACACAGTGGTGCCTCAGCTGCTGCAGGATAACCCACTGAAACACATTCCCATTCCAGAAAAAGCCAAAGGCTACCACAGTGAGGGATGACATCCTTTGGGGCTGAGAAAGGGCATTTCAGTAAAGGATGTTCTGTAATTGATGGAGATCAATTTTGTGGCTGATAGGGTACAATGGTGGATTTACCATTCCACAAATGCCAGCCTCTTTAACAACAGCTGCACAATGACCTACTTTAAAAAAAGACAAGTGAAAATTCCATTTTGGAAGACAGCTGCCTAGAAATTAATATTTCCAAATTAATGTGGAGAGCCTAAATACTAGTGCCTCAGGCACTTATGCCAGAAAGGTTAAGTACCACGTTTAATAGATAATCTCTATGATTAATTTATCAGAAAGAACCGAGTGGCTAATTTCCCCTAATTGAAATTTTCTGGCATGATAAAAAATTTTCATATATAATTCCACTTCCATTTAAATCCATTGTACTAACTTATTATATGAAAGCAAACAAAACTACAGTCTTGAATCCTGCTTTCCTCTTTCAGTAATGGAACAAAATACTTCCATGGCTTCACAGAAAGTAGTAGAATGGATTTTCCTGAGGACAGACAATAAAAAAGGGATCAAACACTCAAGTCCAGTTCCTGGTTTCAAAGACAAAAAAGGACTCAGATTTGCAGAGTACTTCACAACCATCAGCTTTTGTTTTTAGCTCTGGGACAAACCTGGCTGGGCAATTCCAGCCTGGGGAATTGGGTGGACTGGGGCTCACTGAGAGCACTTTGGAGGGGTTGGAGCAGCTGTGGAGCAAAAGCATAGCCTGAAGTCAGGGGGCTGTGTCACTGCACTAACTCAGAAATGCTTGAGCTGCTGCTCTATGCCTACATTTTTGAGTATTTCTGATAAAGTAAGTGTCCTGCATTTTCAAGGGTGGGATGTTTTGCAAGGAGAGGTAATCTTTTTTTCCCAGACTGATGTTCAGATACAAACTCCTCTTCAGATGTGACACAGAGAGAGCAAACTTTATGCTTAGCACAGACAGGAAGAAATTGCTATGAATTTAACTTTGCTTGGTAAATCAGTTAGACAACATAAGGGAGGAAAGAAAAGGATACCTGATACCTACAACAGCGGAGGAAACTCACAAGGGGAAAAGTAATGCTGATCTTGTACAGAGCAGAGAACAGCAGTTACCTGTTTCCTTTGGGCCACGAGGTGATTTGTGTGTCGAAAATGCCATGTACTGTAAGATCAATGTCTCCATTTCATCCATGTTGTCATTTTTGTTCCTGGGCTTGTCTTTGCAGGATACTTTTTAAAGCTTTCTAGGTGGTCAGGAGAGCAATCACAGGTGGTGCTTACTTTGGCAAGGCTCCCATTCTAATTCTGTCTGTATTGCTTGTCTATTGGAATTAATGTCTTTATGGAAGAATTGTTTGGTTCTATTAACTGTGTGGTTCATATAGTCCTCATGAGGACTTTTGATTCATTAGATAACAGAATGTTTTGGCGTGTCCAGGTTTAGGAAACATGGATATTGGTGGATCTTGTGCAGAGTTCAGCATGTCCAGGACTTTGAATTCACTGTACAGATCCTTGGCACTGCTGACACTTGCTGCAGAGCAGTTCCGTGTGGCAGTGCTGAGAAAGTGAACCTCTGCATGGTTCCTGGTGAGTCACTGGGACTGGGACTCCACACACCCAATCCCAGGTCTTGCACCACATCTTTTGTGCTTAAAACTACAGCTGTCGATTAGATTCGTGATAGGTAAACATGTCTTGGCTAGAAAGTTGAACTGTGCTTTTAATGAGCTGTTTATCTATCACAGGTTTTACAGGTTTGGAAACCGCAGAGAAATTCTGCAGATTACACTCTACTTTCCCCTCGGAGGGGTGGGGGATTCTTAAATACTCCTGTTACAGCCCTGCACGGTGCCCGCAGGCTTTGCCCTGGAAGCAGCCCGCGGTGCGGAGGAGGGTGTGAGCCGTGCGAGCAGGGCTGGAGCCCCGGCAGCGCCGGGCGAGTCCGGCCGGGGAAACTCCGCTCCCGGGAGCAGCCGGCGGGAATCGCATCCAGCGGGACTGCGGGGGAGCTCGGGAGCGCCGAGAGCGGGGCTGCGGGAGCGCAGGAATGTCCAGCGCGGGATGCGGAGTGAGGGATGAGGAGAGCGGGATTCAGAGTGCGGGATGCAGAGGGCGGACTGCAGGAATGTCGAGTGCGGGATGCGGAATGCGGAATAAGGAGCGCGGGATGCGGAGTGCAGGATGCGGGATGAGAAGTGCGGGATGCAGGGCGCGGGATAAGGAGCGCGGGATGCAGGGTGCGGGATGCGGAGTGCGGGAATGTCCAGCGCGGGATGAGGAATGCGGGGTGAGGAGTGCGGGATGCAGAGTGTGGGATGCGGAGGGCGGGATGCGGAGTGCGGGAATGTCCAGCGCGGGATGCGGGACGCGGAGCGCGGGATGCAGGGTGCGGGATGCAGGGTGCGGAGCGCGGGATGCGGGATAAGGAGCGCGGGATGCGGGATGCGGAGCGCGGGATGCAGGGTGCGGGATGCGGGCGCTGCGCTGCTGCGCGGAGCGGTGCCGAGAGATGGCGGTACCGCACCGAGAATTCGCCACCCGCGTGTGGGGCCCGCCTGGTCCTTCCCTGCCCAGGAGCTGCCAAACCATCCTGAAAGGGAATTCCGAACTGCCCTGCTGTCGCTGTTTACACACGCGATGGCTTTTGGGTGCCATCAGGGCGGTCCGTCTCGTTACCCACGGCAGGTAACGGGAGAGCCGTGGTTTCACTGGAGATTCTCTTAATAATAAACATTTTTGAAAGATGCCACCCTTAAAACACTAGAGATTTGTCCAAAGAATGAAATTATTTTTATATATATAAAACTCGGTTCCCAAAGTGTGAAACTATATTTTTAGTAAGATATTGTGCTGGTTTCAGCTGGGGTAGAGTTAAATTTTTTTTGCAGAACGGGGCTATATATTGAATTTGTGCTGAACATAGAGTTGTTAATATTAAAATGCTTTTGGTTTTGTTATTGCTGAGGTTACACAGAGATCTTTTCTACTTTTTGCACTGCCACACTGGCAAGGAAGTTGGGGGTGTTTGGGAGGCTTAGGGGGGCAGAGCCAGGACAGAGGACCCCAACTGACCACAGGGGCATCTCTATGGCATTAGTCAGCTGGGACCTCCCCAGATTCCCAAGACTGCTCAAAAAATCTTTCTCCTTTTAAGAAATCATTATGTGGGCCAAATCCCATGTAACACAGGCAGGCTAAGAACATAAATTCTACTATTGTGGGGGGAAAAATCTGATTCTGTATAATAGAGGTATTTCCTATCAGTTTCACTTTATTATAGATAGTCTTATCTCTGGAAAAGAGAGCCAGAGTAGAAGTGAGCTTTAAACCACCTTGTTTCAATTACTTGCCATTCTAAAAAAGGTAATGGCTACTGACGAGTAAAACACAGGTAGAAAACAGGCTAACTTTCAGAGAGACATAAAATTGTCAAACTACAGATTTTTTATATTGGAATTATACCAGCAATTGTACTTAATAAAATAATAGCTCCCTGTGATTCAGTCTATTTATCACTGATTTAGAAAAGAGCAACATTTGACAAGGGAGCAGCAAAATCTGTAGATGACAGGTTATGTATGTGAGGGTTAGAGAGGCCTAGAAAGAATTTCAAGAGACCCAGTTGGGTGGCATCATCTGGGCAGGCTGATGGCATACAAAACTCAAATTTGTTAAGTACAAAATATTGAGCTATGGAAGGCAAGAAGATGAGTTACTTCTATGATTAATTCTTATAAATGGTCCCAACTTAGAGAGCAGACTGAGGTCATGTTTAGCTGTGGTCAAAACAACAAAATACAGTGTGCATAAAAAAATGATAATTAAGAAGTTGACAAATGTTAGATAAATCAGTATTTTCATATGGAAGGAAGTGTAATGATATGAGTGGCAATGATCTCAATAAAGGATATCTCAGGGATAGGTGAAATTAATAAAAGGATGAGAAGAATGACCTGGGCAAGGCAAAAGGCAAAGTGAAAGATGTGTGGTTTTTACCCTAAAAATGAATCAAGCATGAAAGACTTTGATTAAAAAAAAACAACAACAACACCATAAAAATTGCAGCATATTACAGAAAAGGTAGATCTTGAACCTCAGTCCTTGCTGTCTTATAACAGGAAACAAAGCAAAATTTGTTGTGAAATGAAAAAATAACAATAATAACATAAACATGTAATTATATTACAAAGCTCATTCTTAAGAAAAATCATTGAGACCAACAGTTTCACAAGATTCAGAAGAGTTTCAGTGGCTAAATTGTTACCTGTGGGTCTGGAAAGCAATCATTTCTTTGACTAAAAATGGCTAAAAACTTGTGGGAAGTATATGAAAATGTCATGGTCATGTTTTTGCCATACAAACAGATTTAAGGCTGAGATCTAATGCATACAGCAGATTATTCTTTACCTATGGGGCTTCTACATCTTCCCCCAAATTATCTGCTGGTGGCTTCCATTGGAAACAAAGCAGGAGGCTGTGTGTGCACCAGGTGAGCAAATTCTGTACTGCACATTTTTGTGATGAGTTGTGTTTTGCAGTGATCCTGTTCTTTCTTATATTGAAACCACAATCAGGTTGCAGCAAGCCTGAGATGCAACTCAATGGACCAAACAGTGGCTTCCTGATTTGCATATTATTTACCCTGAATTATAAGAGCAGGCAGCTTCCTGGGGGAAAAAAAAATTACTTAAAGTGATGCAAACCTTTACATTTCTGCAGAACAGACAAAAGGGTCTCTGTTATTTCCCAGAGCATGCAACTTCTTCAAACCTAAGAACACTGCCTAGCTTCTTAGCTATTAAATTTGGGCTCCCAAATACCCAACATGAAGCTTAAGGCTGCAGAAACATCCTTCTTTGCGTACTGCTGAAGTTGTTCCATCTCTCTCCAAATTGTTGCTGTTCCTTTTGGGCTGACTTGATTGAAGATCCATGAAGTTCAGTACTGCATGAACAGTTAAATCTCTGTAAATACCTGATAAGGAATACACATGGAAGAGAACCCCAATCTCATTCTTTCTGAAAAATATAATAATTCCATGCTTTGGTTATCAGCCCACAAAATGAATGTAATGGTTACACTTTATGTGAATGGTAATGAGTTAATTAACATTTCTCAAAGTCCTAGAACCTCAGATTAATAGTGCTCTGGAGTATAAAGACATAATATTATTTCATTGAGCATTTGTCATTTAAAAAGCTCTATGCCTAAAGCTTTAATCAAGCTCTGTAAGATGAGGGCAATTTCCTTTTTGCCACATTTGGGTCTCATCTCTGCTAAGATGCATGTGTAGTTAAACCCTGTATTCCTTGGGGAGGAGCACGGGTGCCACTGTTTGTATGATCATGGGAGGCAAACCCAGCAGTAGAATCCTACACTTGAGAAAGTTGGAAGAGTTATTTTAGGAGATGCTTTTCCTGAGTTTACAAATTGTGTAATAAATTGCTTCTATTAGCACAGGAAAAAAAATCTCGTAAGTTAATTATTGTTTTGCTAAAGCTACTGAGTAATAGAGTTTCTAAAATGTCTTTTTTGCTAACAAAGACCACTATTTTTTGTTAGATGAAACAAATACTGGCTAACGGATAGAAATCTGTTTTGGTAGCCCAGGAATACATTCATTTTGGGTACAATTCCTCTTCACACAATGGATTTTAACCATTGTGTAGGAAATTAATTTATAATTTACCATTATATCAGAAAGTAAGGGTACTCTTTTGAATAATAAACACACACCCACGAATTATCAATAACACTGCTACAGAAGGCAGAGCTTTCAGTGGTGGTCAAGAACACTTATTTGAGTGGCCCAATTCCCTTCAGGTATGTATGTGTGACTAAAGGCTGAAATTCCACGGTCACTTGGCAGCTGTGGCACTGCCACTGCCAGAGGAGCCCGGCTGAAAGCGCTGTGATCCCGGTGACGGGGATGGCCGAGCCAGCACCTGCAGGTGACACTCTCCACACAGGGACTGCAGAGAGCCCAGGAGCTTTCCCTTTTCCATAAAAACCTGGCAAAAAAAAACTCACACAGAGCTCCAGGTGTCACCCAAGTGCCACACCGGGCTGAGTGCACGGTGCCAGGGCAGCACTAGGTGCCCAGCTGGGTGGGAATGCCCCTTCCTGTTGTAGTGTGGTTTTATGTTTTATAATGGTTTTATTCTTTGTATCTCCTTATTTTCCCCAGAGTGTATCCCCTCCCTCTACCTGTGTAATCCCTTCCTTTGCTGAGATCATCCCCAAATCCCCACCCTGTCAGTCTGTCAGTCACTCAGCAGCCCATCCCCTCCATCTACAACTTTGGTCCAGGACATCGAGTGATCAGCCAGAGACCAGGGGTCAAGCCCCCAAGTGTTACCCCATATGCCGTCCTAAACGTCAATTTCCCATCCCTTAAGTTTCCTTATTGGTCAGTAAATGTTATCTACTTTTGGTTTGCACCTCTCCCGGGCTCTCAGCAGGAGCCCCCTGAGGTGTAGGGGCTCCCCGGAGCTCCTTGGATTAACCCCTGCTAAGAGCCGGCCCCTTCATCTTCCACCGTTGTCCCAGCATCTCCTCTGCTGCAGGCGATCAGCCTGGCTGTCCTTCTGTCCTTCCATACCCCAGGGATCAGCCTAGTTGCCTTTGGTACCCCTGGGGGATCAGCCTGGCTGCCCTCCGTATCCCTGGGGATCAGCCCAGCTGCCTCTGTACCCCAGGGATCAGCCTGGTTGCCTTTTGTACCCCCGGAGATCAGCCTGGCTGCTTTGGTACCTCCGGGGATGAGGATCAGCCTGGCTGCCCTCCGCACCCTGGGGATCAGCCTGGCTGCCTTCTGTACCCCCAGGATCAGCCTGGTTGCCTTTTGTACCCCCAGGGATCAGCCTGGCTGCCCTCCGTACCCCCGGGGATAGGGATCAACCTGGCTGCTTTGGTACCTCCGGGGATGGGGATCAGCCTGGCTGCCTTCTGTACCTCTGGGGATCAGCCTGGCTGCCCTCTGTACCCCCAGGGCACGGGAGAGTGCCCCCCTCGCTGTCCACGGTGTTGGGGCTGGCCAGAATTCCCTCAGTGGCACTCTGAGCACCCCGGGGCTGTGCCTGCTCCTGCCTGGGAGCTCTGCAGGCAGAGCGTGGCACTGTGAAACCCCTGCCAATTGTTAAAACAGGTTAGAAACTGTGGTAAAATAGTTGATAGTCGTTATGCATGTACTGTTAGTTTGGTTGTTGTACTGTAAAAGGCGTTAAAAGGGGAGTTATGAGAAATACAGTACTCAAGGTACCATAACATATTGTCTTATATATCAGGAGTTCTACATCATCATAATGCAAGGATTCCATATTGTCAGAGTTTCATACCTCCTCAATGTTTCTCATAGGCAACTCCTCTAAGCACTGACTCTTAGTCCTTGCAGCAGCCATCTGACTCTAGTTCCCACCAATCAACTCTTTTATACCATTGTTCTTATTGGCTACAGGTGTGGCCTGCTAATATCAGGCCTGCTCCTAATCTTTAGTAATTGCTCCAGCTGCAATTCTTTGGGAGATAAGATTACATTCTATACCATCTTCATTTATCCATATGGTGTCCCCCTACCATAACACACCTCAGTGAAGTGCACCACGAGCCAGCCTGGACAGAACTGTAATGGTCAATCAAGCA